TATATATATATATATACATATCCTATTTCAACTTCTAAGACAGAAATCTTGTTTTTTGTCATAATATTCAAGCACTTCTTGTGACCCAATGGTTAGCGTTTCTTGCTGTGAATCCACAAAAATACTCTTCCACTATGGACTATGATTGAATTATAAAACTGAGCGTTAAATATCATTACTCGTTCAGAGAAGAGAACACCAATAGTTGGCGTGGGGTACTTTTAACGATCTGCCTTTGCTCTAGTCTATCAGTTTAAGATTAGAGAGTGATATGCCCACATGGCCCTTACATAGCTTTGCACACAATTCTGAACCAAACAAGCGGATTTTACTCGGAAATAATGTATCATATCAGAACGTACGTGGGTGCACCGAACCCGACCCAATGGTTAGTGTTACAGACTGTGGGTCCAAGGCTCCACGCTTTGTGCTCCTCTACCCCCCAAAAATCACTCTCAGCACTTTGATCAAAGTTGGAAAATAACTTCCAGAAGATGCTGAACATGACACGCCTATTTTAGTTATAGCTAACATGTGCCTATAAGCAGGGTTTAAAAAGGAACATAATAACCTGGAATAGACTTCTGTCTCTTGAGAATTCATGCCTTTAAAGTTCCTGAACTTCTGATTGGAATGTCAGATTGGATCACAAAAGGGAGTTTCACCTCTCTCAAAATCCCAGTTTAACCACTACACTTATACAATTATTAGCTGTAAGTGCCAGATATTTCAAAATGGCGTCCTTTTTTTAGAACACACAACTGTTAACAAGCTCACACAGATCCAACTGATCTGATCCTGTTATAAGGTTTCTATTTAGCCGTCCAATTTCATAACTTACCTTATTTTACATCAATGTTTTTAATTTTAGTATCTTGGTTTTAACATTTTATGTACGTATGCTGATTCATCAATGTGTAGAAATGTTACACAGCTGTGTTTTCCATCGTTGTTAAAATAAACGAGTGACAACGTTGTTATCAGTGTTAAAAAGTTATGTTTTGTAATGGTTTATAACATGATATTATTTATTATACAACGAGAAGAAATTCTGATCAAAGCGTGGAGTCATATTTGTTTCTTGAAAATATACAACTCTACTTGTTTGTTCGTTTTGTTTTGAATTTTGCGCAAAGCTACACGAGGGCTGTCTGCGCTAGCCTTCCCTAATTTAGCAGTGTAAGACTAGAGGTAAAGTAGCTAGTTATCACCACCAACTCTTGGGCTACTCTTTTACCAACAAATAGTGGGTTTGACCGTCACATTATAAAGCCCCCACGGTGGAAAAGGCAAGCATGTTTGATGTGACGGGGATTCGAACCCGCAACCCTCAGAAATGGATACTCATTTTCATTCGTCTTCATAATTATTTATATTTCATAATGAATAATCTCACCTTGGGTTTCACAGATTGAGACAAATCACTAACAACAAGACGTTCATTAGAATGTTGACTACTATCTTCAGTCTTAATGTCATTGATATCGATTTTCCACCAGTAGTCATTCAGATCAGCTTCGAATTTGAGCTTTCTATAAAATCAAACGTTACATTTAGACTTATTGTTTCTCCTTGCATATTCCATTAAATGTTGATCCTGTAAAGCATAAAATACTTATAACAAAAATAAATTATCTTTATTTGATTTTCTCATTCATTTCATAACTTATAATAAATTGCGTTTACTAGATTTTCATATACATCATATTACTGCCCGCCCTCCCCCCCCCCCATTAGTTTGACGATAAGTCTCTGGATTTATGGAGCTAAAAATCGGGTTTCTATAATCGTGGGGGGCACAAATAGTCCATTATGAAACTTTGTGCTTAACGACAAAGAAACATCATATTACTGATAGTAAACTTAACCTTTACTCTTTAATATAAGGTTGATTACGTAAAAAAAAAAACCAACAACAATACAGACAATTTTCTATTGTCCGTCCTAAGCTTAGGTGAATCTCCACAGAATATACTAATAGAAGCTTATTGCGGTATTTCTTGAGATTTCATAAATGTTTTGTATGTTTCTTTTGAAATTTTGGGTACAAGGATGAACAAAAAACATAGATGTTTTAAAAACCTTTAACAAAAATACAGATGTTTTAAAAAACCTGTAACAAAAATACAGATGTTTTAAAAACCTGTAATAAAATATAGATACTTTAAAAACCTGTAACAAAGATACAGATGTTTTTAAATACATCTAACAAAAATACAGATGTTTTAAAATACCTGTAACAAAAATACTAATGTTTTAAAAATCTGTAACAAAAATAAGGATGTTTTAAAAAACCTGTAAAAATACAGATGTTTTTAAAAACCTGTAACAAAAATACAGATGTTTTAAAAACCTGTAACAAAAATAATGATGTTTTAAAATATCTGTAACAAAAATACTAATGTTTTAAAAACCTGTAAGCAAAAATACAAATGCTTTTAAAAACCTGTAACAAAAATACTGATGTTTTAAAAAACCTGTAACAAAAATATAAATGCTTTTAAGAAACCTGTAACAAAAGTACAGATGCTTTTAAAACCTGTAACAAAAATATAGATGCTTTAAAAAAACCTGTAACAAAAATACTGATGCTTTAAAACATCTGAAACAGTAGTCCATTGTAAATTTAATTCTGATCAAAATATGATTTTCAGTATGATTACTCTTACATCGTTGTCGCGAATTTCCTTGGTAAACTCAGACCAGACACTTGATTACAGCTTGATAATGGACAAAGAAAAACATTTTATAAACTTCATAAGATATATTGTAGGGTCTGTTTAAAGTCCGTCAATTGTTTATTGTTTATTTGTAATTAAGCACAAAGCTACACAATGGGCTATCTGTGCTCTGCCCACCACGGGTATCGAAACCCGGATTCTAGCGTTGTAAGTCCGCAGACATACCGCTGTGCTACTGGGGGGCAAGTCCGTCAATAATATGAAGTCTAAGGTTGTTCTCCCATTACTTCAGAAAATCTTGTTGCACTAAATATTATGGTGTCAGTGCGTAATTATAGGCATCAGATCGAGGACGAACGATGAAACACCGAAGGACTGAAACATCGTTTGATGATTTAAAGCTTAACTTTATCTAACTTAATTTAAGGATATCGCAAAACATCTGGTGGTGTAAGACGTTCAGTTATATTTAGTTAACATAAGAGCGTTCTTTGTATTCAGATTGTGGTATTTCCCGTCAAGTAACTGGTTAGAAATCAGGGGAACCAAACCACAGTCTTGGAAAAAAACGTTTGCATATTTTGAAACAAATATCATTATTATTAAGATGGAATACAAATACACTTAGTGCTGTAAAGCTGAGAAACACACGTTACATGAAACATCTACATATGTAATTTGTATAATGAGACAGGTTCTATTAACATCATGAACATCAAATTATTATCAATAGCATCTGTAAGCTTATATCAGTTCACATTAAACATTTAATAATTAGTTGGTCTCCCTCCAGAGATGGGGCGAATACTGGAGAATACGAATAATTTGTATTTTCATTAATATTGTGTTTATTGTTACGACAGTGGAAGTCACGCGACGCTGGGAGCATCCGCGCTGGAGTTTCTAGAAGGATCATGACTTATGGAGGAACCTCGCGAATGTCCCAGTGTTTGCTAGACGCCC